CTAGTAGTATGGCCAGGAGCCCCTAGTAGCGAACATTGCTCCTAGTAACAGATCCGCTGGGTCGACCATTCTCTTCATGTCGTCCGGAACTGACACGACCGCATGTGAGAAACCCCAGCGCAGACGAGCGCGGAGCTCGGCGATGCAGCGCCACACCAGCACCGTTTTTTTTCTTCAAAAAAAGGCCACACCGTTGCACGTTACACCTGGTCCCACGTCCGCCATTGCACGCTTAGACCTCACCAGGACCAGGTTCTGCCGCCTCGATCACCTGGAAGTTCAGGTTTCAATTGGTCTCAGACGAACAAATCTTCTAAGACTTCATAAGACTTCTAAAACGTCAACAAAGCGTTCATGATCGCAACAAAAACAAAAAAAACACATCATAAGCTTCTGAGATTTTAGAAATCTAAGACTTCCTTCTGAGATTCTAAAGCCGGGAGGAGATTTTTCCGGCCAAATGCCGAACTGGACCGACAGTATCTGACGTCCGAGGTTTGGGGATACGGTGACGAGCCAGGGTTACCCCAATCCCTGTGTTACAGGCTGTTACACAAATACATTATATATATAATGTATATCATGTATCATATATCATATATCATATATATATATTATAATATATCGTTATATCAAACAACAAATATTGTCATATTTATTGTCATATCACCCAACTTTGGCTTCTCAATGTTGGAGTCTTGAAAACAGCCCGGACAAAGGTCGGTAGGGAGAGGTGCAAATCCTCTGAGCAAGGCCACACCGTGTGGCTCAAACATACCAACAGTTGGGGGATTGGAATACCTCGATTGTTTGGATTTGGCCACCTCGAAAGTCTAGGTCACTGGCGGTTTGAAGTCATGTCTTGAGTGTATTTGAGTGTGGCGTCAGCGCCTCCCAAAGAGCAAAGCCGTTGGTGTTCACGTTGGAGAAGTTGACTCGGTCGAACTTCACCTCCGCGCAAACCCCGCACGTTGGGAGGTGTCATATCGGTGTCCTACGTCAACTAGGTCCACGTCCGCGTCCGCGTCTCGACTGAAACTGTCAACCGGGGACGCCTGAGGTTGAGGCCTTGAGACCCAAGTAGCGGGATTTCGGGGCGAAAACCAGCGGCTCTCACGAGTGATTTTTGCTGCACCGCCGAAACGAAACACTCCGTCTATTCATGGCTCTACTTTCAAGACTCTTCAGTGACTGGAACCACCTCCCCCAAAGCGCTTGGTTTCCCTGCGGTCACTGGGTACTTCACTTCAGGCTTCTGGTTGACGTTCACCACCTGGCCCCTGGTCTGATACCTCGACACTCGTGCTGAACGCAGACGTCGGTCTTTCCCGGTCATCGAACCAGTGACGTCGCTCGTGCTGAACGCAGACGTCGCTCGGTACCCGCTCGGTACCCGCTCGGTACCCGCTCGGTCGGTCGGGTCACCAGTAGGACTCAGGACGGAGGATCTTGACCCAGGAGCCCTTCTTCGGTCCAACCCAAGGTGCCTTCTCCTGCGTCGTGGACGACGGTGGGGCCGCCGAAAATCGGTTGGACTCCCGTCTCGAGACGGTGGGTCATGGGGCGAGTTTCGAACTCGCCCAAAGCGAATCTGGATCGTTGTGCGAATCTGCTTGGCATCTCCAAAAATAAACTTCTGAAAGAAGGCCCAGGAAGGCTCGAGCCCTTCGCTTCGCGCCTTCTTGGCAGTCTTGGCAGGAGCCTGGATCATCATGGAACAAGCTCTTGGGCCCTTGGGAGTGAAAATGGCATAAAAAATACCCCCACCCTGTCCGCATAGTTCAGATCATCGCGCCAAGTTCAGACTGGTCGACACGGAATGTTCTCCGATTCCGTTTTGCAACGGACGTTTCAGGTCAAACATCGTTGGACCCAAATCGGAGTCAAAAGACTGAACCAATGGATCTTGGGGGTCTTCTGAATCTTCGACTCAAAGAGCTGCACAGCTGAGTTGTGCATCTCGGTGGTCTTATCCGCCTTTGCTGCTGCGAGAGCAGTGGAAGAGGTGCGGCCTGCAAATTGTCTTGGTCAGTTTTGACCTCCAGATGATCGAAACAGTCTCGTGGAAAGGTGCAGCACAAAGAGCTGATTTTACTTGTGACCCAAGCCGGTTCTGAATGTCCCAAAGCTTCTCCTGCCTGGAAGCCCGCTGCCCACAAAACTAGTGCTGTGCAGCCCCAGTGCAGCTGCAACCTGCCAAAAGAACATACGCTTCAGGAGGTGTAGAACTTGGCCACGCGTTTGCAGTCTCACGGTGTTTCACACTGACACGATCTTGAGCTCCCCACTGCCAAAAGCACCAAGCCCCGCAAACGCATGGCCTGAGACACAGAAAGAAGTATATAGTAACTAATAGTATTAGGTAAACATAGGTAAACCATGGAAGGCCATGGGTCAAAGGCTGAAGACCTTTTCAAAAGGATTACCGGGCGGTTGGGTTTTGTCAGGTCCTCAAGGCCAACCCAAAGTCATGGTTTACCAGGAGAGACGCAAAGAAGCTCGTCACAAGGAGGCATGCGCTCGTCACGTCTGCATAAGAATGCCATACTCTCTGACTGCCCTTCCGAAGCTTTCCAACCCCCAACCCTTGCAGTTCATACCTCTACAGTTCGTAAGTAGTCTAAAAATACACCCAAAACCTGCAGATGAAACCACTTGGTTGGAGGGATACGATGATGGACTCTGTTCGCACTCGAGGAACAGGGCTCCCGCGCCATGGTTTTCTCACAAAGAACGGGGCTCCGTCGGGAGCGAACGGTTTGAGCGGTGCTTGGCTGCGAACGAAAAGCCTCCCTTCCAGTCCTTCTGGATCATCGGTTGGAGGCCATCGCTACGAACGGAGCGATCGGACACTACGAACGTAGCTCCTGGCCTTAGTACTATATAATACTATATAGGAACAAGGAGCTACGAGGGCTCCTGGCCGTACTACTAGGAGCAAGGACGCTACTCGGGGCTACCGGCCTTAGAACAAGAAGCTACTAGCAAGGACGTTCTTAGGTGGAGGCCATGGCTAGTAGCTTTACGCGAAGTCCGGTCAGCTGAAACGTGGGAGACACTCGACACTCCACTGTCCCTTCTACTGGGGAGGTTGTAGTGGAAAGGGTATCCCTGGTGAGTATGTTTGATGCCCGTTTGAACTGCAGGGAATCAAGCTGAAAGGAGCGGTCTCGGCATCAATTGAAAAGAGGACCGTCTTGGCTCCTGGCAGTGTTGCTTCGCTTCCCATCTAGCAGAAGGGGCAGGCCGGAACAGTGCGGATCCATGTCTCAAAATGTCTGCCGCTGCATGTGGCCAGAGTGGCTACGCCAAGCAGGTTCTCTAGCACTTGTGCCATGGATCAAGTACCCCAAAGCTTAAAGCTTGTAACAAAACACAGGCATTGCCTGCGAGTTGTAAGGAATTTGCACACACCGAACTATGAAGTGATGAGCTCAATCTTGAACCCTAGAGTGTTCCGCGGCCAGCGCGATGTGTAGCAAAATGCACCCTAGGCCATCGCTAGTGGGTTGGAGGCCATCGCTATTAGCAAAAAGTACCCTAGTTCCCGTTTTCATGTCCCTCTCCGATTCCATTCCATGCTGTCTACACCGGATCAGCCGTGTTTGACAACGACTATCTAACACATTAAGGCATTAAGGCCTGGCTTCCATGTTTGCGGGGCAAGAACGGGAGGAGGGCGAGAATAGACTATGCGAGACTCGTGGATATCCGTAGTAAAGAAATAAGTGTAGTGAAGAGAAGAACTTAAGATAATGGGGCCCTTTAATAAGGGGGCCCTTACCTTCTTTCTTCTCTTCACTACACTTTCTTTAAGGCTGGGTCCAAGACCCAAGGATGCTTAAACATGCAAAGCACAAAAACGTTCATGACAAGATGTTTAAAGTACGGATTCGGATTTTGGATGGCTATGCTGCAGTGATGCTTGCAACCACCTGTTGGGCAAACTGCCTGAAAGTTGTGGGCAAGTTGAGATGTTCCTCACTGCAGGCCTGTGTGCTGCAATGTGCAGCAGTTGAATAGCAGCCTTATATGTGGAGTATGAAAGACCGTGCGTGTCGTAAGCAAAAAACACAAGCGCATGGCAGAACTGTTGAACTCGCTCTCCGAAAGAAGGCTTACCATCGGTCCGAACGCGTCCTTGTCCGCTTTAGGAGTTCTTCCAAGCCGAGCAGTTTCCTCTACACACCTGGTGGTTTGGGGGGTACAAGCCTCATGCTTCGTGCAGGATGTCCTTGCACATCCTGCACTCCGAGCTGGTTTGACAATCAACCTGCTACACTAGTTCTCCATGGGCCTTTGTCCAAGCTTAGTGTTATGGAACTGCAAGCCTCTTCAAGCTATGGCCCACAGTCCGGTGAAATTGAAGTCAGGTCACGGAGGTCACGGGCGAGTGAGCACTCCCTGTATCAACAGTGAGCACTCCCGTGTCAATATTTCGAGCACACACACACGCGCCAGTGTGTATTCATGGTGCTTGGGCCTTTGGCATTGCAAACGACTCTGAAAATTATCCAAAATCTGCACAGGGAACGGGCGCAATTTCGCCCCTTAACCACGAGCGTTGGCGAAAATACTGGGTTTGTCAATCAAGTGCTGATCCCAATAAGGCACACTGTTGATGGATTGATTTATGTCCACCTGGTCCATTTGTGGAGCTTCCTCATCTTGGATCATCTCCACGTGAGCCTATCACCTATCTACACGTCTCACGCGTGTTCACAGGCTGACACTCACTTCCAGAAGTTTCGGGTTGTTCACATACATTGGGAAGCACTCTGGATAAGGCCTTGTCGACGAAGCAGCATTGTAAGCATCACAAGAACTTGCCATGGCCACGAGCTCATCCTGGAGACTTCAGTGACTTAAGAAACTCCTGGATGTGGTTCCTTCTGGTCCCTACATTGTCTCTACCAGACAGCTACATATTGTATGGGGATGTTCTTTCATGGTCTTTCAAACATATGGCCTGCGAAATAGGTTTAGCTCTCGCGCGATGAACATATGGCTCTCGCCTGGAACTTCTGAAAGACTGCTTTCGGATCCCCAGAGATTGGAGGTGGAAATAGATGTGTCCAATCGTCCAAAAGCCTTGGATTCCAGCGGTGGCGCCTCCATACACAATGGAGAATCCGATTTCGGATTCATCCACGGGAGCAGAAATCAACACTCCATGGATGCTTTCTTGCACAAACAGCTTGTCAGCATCAACTGTTGTGTGGATCGACGCCCTCTGCAGGACGTTCAGCGTTCATGACTTGTGTTTCGTTTCGTCGTTCTCACTTAGAGCCGCATGAAATCGTGTGCACGAAAAAGAGGTCAGCGAGTTATGAGCCATAGAGTCCATAGAGCTGCATGAACTTCACGCAAACTAGCGCGTTGGACTGACGTCTGCAAGGAAAAGGCAGAAGGAATCAAACGTCTTTTGAAGGGCTTCTCTGGCAAACTATTGCAGCCGAGCTGCTTGGGCATCTTCTTGTTAGTAAAGGACATGAGCAGCGCAGTTGCCGTGGCTGTTTGCTTGGTACCGCAGCTTTGTCCTATGCCCCAACGAAAGGCGCACCAGGACGCGTCTTGTGCGTAGACCTTGGACTGGTCAGCTACTATCAGCTGGAAGCAACGAGCAGCGAGATGAACAATTGCAAACGTCTCTGGATTCTTTCACATCAGCAGAAATCTCCTAACAAATCTCAGGTGGACTTTCAAGTTGAAGTGTTCCGAGTGGATGCTATGTCAATCCTCTCAAGCACGGTAAACACGTGGTTTCGGGTGGGCGGAAGTGAGCAGAAGGGGAAGAAACACCTGCTAAGCTGGTCCCCGTGGCTCTACAGCCACGTTGAGCTGCAACAGTCACCCTGTCAAAAGAAGACAAAAAGAAAGGTAACACTCACACAGGACAAACGAGAATTTGATTTGAACATTGTTTCCAAACCTTGGGCATATCTATCTTCAACTGCTTGGGGGGCCTCCTTCGGATGTGATGTGATGTGCTGAGTGGTGACAAGGTGGTGTGGTGCCAAGTGTGAGGTGTGTGGAGTTTTTTGCGGTCTGTGCTTTGCCCGATAACTCGGCATCTGCGCAGTGAAGAGATCATCTTCACATGGACCATTGAGTGCTATCCGAACGTACACAGGAGACGTCCATCTTCACGACAGGACACCTCCACTGCTCCGGCTTGTTCATGTCCAGCAGTTACATCCAGCATGATCTGTGCTAACCACTTGGCGTAGAACCTGGACAGGTTTCCCATGCGAGCGTGACACACAAACAAACGCATCATCTAGTTATATAATCCAAATATGACCTTCTACGAACTCCATCCAGCTAGTTTTTTCTCTGCGCCCCTTCGTGCAAACAAGGACGCATGAAAGCTTCATCTGGAGTGACCGTAAGTTCTCTTTGTTGTAGCACGTGGTCGTTACCGGGCCGACCCAGCATCGATGGCGAGACATACTCCAGCTGATGGAAGTACTGCCTGGGTCATCGAAGGAACACAAAGAACCTGTATTGAAGACCATTGAATGCATCTTCGAGCCTAGACAAAGACTGGTCCCGTGAGTGCTGGCTGCGGGATGCGGGTGCGGGTGATGGTGCTGGTGGTTGATGTATGGCACTTTGAAGCGCGAGGAGAGCAGAAATGGCTCAAGTTCCTTCGGTCCCGTCTCTGGTGCCATGTGATCCCTCATTTACCGCGAAGAAAAACGCCGAGAAGTCAGTGTTGGAGACCATCGAGCGGTCAAGTTCTCCTTCGCTTTTTTGGGAACTTGGTTTCCGACTGAACACCATGAACCTTGGTTTCTCGTAGTTCACATCAGAACTTGATCCGTCGCGACCGCCTCGGAACTTGAACACAGGGGCCCTGCAAGCTTTTCCTCACAGGGTTCCTCACTGATCTCCTGGCACGATAGACCTTGGTGGTCGTTGGAAACCGGCAAAGGCGGCGCAGCGGCGCCGCACCTGTTAGGTGGACACACAAAAAGAAACCTGTCCACCGGAAAGGAACCCAATCCACGTTCCCGCACCGTGCTCCCGAAACGCAACCCAACATCCGAAACGCAAGGGACTTCCGGTCCAAAATACAAAAAGGAACTGTGAACAAGTACGAAGAAGAATGATATTGCTCTGATTCAACCTTACAAAGTGTTGTGATTCAGTGTAACACATGTAAAGGTGCTAACTTTCATGCCTAGTGCAATGGCATCAGACAAACTGTTCACACTCACTCACTCACTCACTCCCTCGCTCGCTCGCTCGCTCGCTACTCTTTCTCTGTGCTTCCACATCTGAAGACATCTTCCACATCTGTTATGTTTTGCTGGGCTTAGTCTGTGGCGCCGTGACTTGCGATGGTTTGAATTCACTATTCGTCCTTCCTCCGTCTCCAAAAGTTCTTTCTGCTGTCAGTCCTCTCATGTCCTCTCTAAACGTTTTGTACTAGCTGTCATGCATGAGAGGACGAGGACGTGTGTGTGTGTGTCACACTCTGTTTCTAAGAGTTCTTGGTTTTTGCAAAGCAGGGGGCCATCCCCCTCCCCAGTGGCGGATGGCCAACGAAGAGGCCACTGGGGAGGGCTGCAAACGTACCTGCTGAGCTGTTGCACAAGCTGCTCTCCTTTCGGTTTGCTTCTCCTATTCCCCTAAACCTTCCCCTTTTTATCTGCTAACGATTCAGTAAAGTGCTAATGCGTCAACATTGTTCAACATTTCAGTTAAGCCGACTTTGCGCCTTTCCGTTCCCTCATCCATTTCACTGTGGATTATGGAAACTGCAAACCCTGTGACTAAGTGTGTATCGCTGTGTCTTCCCACTGGGTACACAGTGTGATCCTCTCGCAAGAGAGGCGCCGAAGTCATCGTGAATCACAAATTGGTTCAGCGTCTTGAGTTCGTGGATTATGGTTTGGTTTGGTTTCACCATGATTCAACTGAACCATATGCCGCCAGGCTCACGGACTAAATGCCGCCGGGCTTACGGAGAATGAACCCCCACCCCTGCCCCCTCCCCTCTAATTAGGGTAACAGAAGGAAATGGTACTCGGCAAACTTGTGCGTCGGTGCCTTTCCTTCTGGTGTCCCTGTTCTAGTCTACTCTACCCGGGTGGTCTAAGACTAAAGTCCCGCTCCCTGCTATTGCACGCAATTGACGGCTGCTAAGCATTTAGTAACTAGACACACACATGTACACACACACACACACCTTCCCTGTCCCCCCACTTTTTCTTTATTCGCTTTCTTTGTTTTCTAGGCTTTCTTTCAGGCTCGATAGGTGGTTATTGAGGCTCGTTTCCCTGCCCCTCGGGTTTTGTTTAGTTCTTTCTCTCTTGCCTGTTCGTTTCTCTTTCTAGGTTTGCCTTTCTGCTAGAGGCTTTTTAGGTCTGTAATGAAGTTCCTCTTTTTTTTGCAGTCAAGGGCTAAGTAGTCAAGTGCTAAGTAGTCACTTTTTTCGCTACTCCTATCTTTCTTTCTTGCCCTTTCCGTTTTGCTCTTTCTGTCTTCCCTTCTTTCTTTTCTAAGGCTTTTTAGGTGCCTAGTCAGGCTCATTGCCAAAGGCAACAGAGTGCCAACGCTTTTTGAAGCACGAACAGAACTGTCACTGGTGCGAGGAGGCGCCGCAAAGCGGCCAATTGTGTGCGCGCGCCACAATCTGTTTCTAAGAGTTCTTTGCTTTTGCAAAGCAGGGGGGGCCATCCCCCTCCCGAGTGGCGGATGGCCAACGGAGGGCTGCAAACGTACCTGCTGACCTGTTGCACAAGCTGTTCTTCTTTCGGTTTGCTCATGGCGGTTCTCATGCTATTCCCCTAAACCTTCCCCTTTTTATCTGCTAAGTATTCAGTAAAGCGCAACGCGTCAGCATTGTTCAGCACTTCAGTTAAGCCGACTTTGCGCCTTTCCGTTCCCTCATCCATTTCACTGTGGATTATGGAAACTGCAAACCCTGTGACTGAGTGTGTGTGTGT